GGCTGCAGAAGAGCTGGAAGAGCACCGACATGAAGAGCTCGTCAACAACTAACTGCACGTAGCATCGGCTGGAGGGCACCAGGAAGATCTCCTGCATGGCGCTGCTCACCTGCAGAAAGACGGCGGGGCGGCTCTCACTGCAGAGGTGTCCCTGCGGCACAGCCTGCTCTGGCCAGCAGCTGCCCTGCCCCGGGCTTCCCCGCTGGCAAGGCAGCAGGAGGCTGTGGGCAGGGAGCAGGGCCACTGAGGGCAGCAGGGCTGGGGCAGGCTGCCAAGGGCCCTGGGCCAGGCTGGAGCTGGGCAGCGGGCAGGTGGAGAGGGTCGGAGGGGCTGGAGAGGAGGGCGCAGAGCCGGAGGGAAGAGAGGAAGCCCTGTCCAGACACTTACTGCCAGGAGATCGCGGCACCTGCAGCGTCCCGTGCTGCTTTGCAGCCTGGTGCATTGGTTGCTGGCCACCAGCAGCATCCTCAGCAGGGCTTCCACGAGGCTGGGCTTGCAGGCCAGCGTGTTCCACATGGCCCTGGTGGTGCTGCAGATCCAGAGCAAACTGTCAGCAGGGCCTCCTCGGCCACCACCCCTTCTGCCCGGGCAGGCCTCGGAGGTCCGGAGCTGCCCGCCAGGCGGACGAGCCACGTACTTGTTACAGCCGTGGGAAACCTGCAGCAGGGTAACAGCCACCCTTGGAGGGTCCAAGGTGGCCACTTGGAGAAGAGTGCTCTTCAGAATGTCCTGCGGCGACTTCTGCCTCAGCCTTCTCAGCTGATTGTAGATGGTCTGCACCACCAGGTCCATCTGGGAGACGCAAGGAGTTGGAGTGGGCTGGAGTGCAGCCACGCTCCCCGCTGCCCCCAAGAACCGCTTCCCTCCCGCCGCCCTTTGCTGGCCTCAAGGGCCACCCGTCGGGCGCTCCCAAGCCCTGGACGCTGCCTACCTTGATCAGGTACAAGCATGGGTTGTTCAAAACCCCTTCCAGCATCTTGGCAATCAGCTGGGTGTCGGAGATCCTTGGGTCCGCCATGTTTTCCAAGACCGTTAAGATGAAGTCGTTCTTCTCACGCTCGAGGAAGGAGCTCCCAAAGAGCTGAGGGAGGGAGGGAGGGAGGGAGGGAAAGCTGCCTCCATCCCGCCTGGGAAAGGGTGGGATGAGGAGGGATGGACTCACCATGTGCACCATGGGCTTAGATTCTCCAGTGTCTCATAAGGGCTGATGCTGAACACTCAGTCTGCACAAGGGGCTCAGGCAGCCCAACAGCAGCGGGGTTTGGCCCCTCCTTCATGTCCCTGTTCATGCTCACGCCATGTCAAACCAAGCACACCAGCAGGGCTAAATTTTTATACTTTTGCTTGGGGAAATTTCAAGAACAAATGTTTTCAGTGGAAAACCAAAATCGTTGCATTTTGGAAGTTTTGCTGGAGTTTCGCTGAAAACACAAGCAGACACTTTAGGAATAGGCTCATGTACCTGAAAGCTTCATTTTTTGTGTGATATGAGTTGGGTGGAAAATCTCTGATCGACCTTTGGTGTACACTGTAGGTATTAAATTTTACTCCAGAGCGGCTTTTGGGGGAATATCTGCTCTTTAATAATAGTAATGCTTAATAATAGTTTTCAATGGTAATTCTTGGTAGCAATTCCATGTGTTTCAATATACTTTTGCTCGATAGAAAGCGGTGTATGTCATGCAACAAGTTCATCAACCCTCTAATCTCACCTTCGGGCATAGCTCCCGTGGCCAAACATGAAGGCAGTAAAATCTCTCCAGCCCAGCACACTATTCCCTCTCTCCAAAAAAAAAGGCTGCATAATCTCCTCTGGGGTCAGCATCCCCCTGACAGCTCAGTGACTGGTTGCAGTGCCCCCAGGCAGAGTCCCCCATCACCTAAGGGGGGACAGATTTGGCAAGAGACCTTAGTGGGATGTGGTGGGCTCCTAGCCCTGGTGTCCCACAGGTGAGGCACAAAACCCTTGCCAGACACTTATTTTTTGTGTGGATGGATCACTACGCCTTTAGCATCCACAAGGGTGTCAGCGGGGCTGCGTCAATCCTGATGGGAAGCATTTACCAGCAGCTGAGCCTCTTGGGGGAAACTCCTCCACCTCCCAGGTCCATGTGGGGGACTGTGCTCCACGACCTGAGTCTCTGCTTTGCCCCCTGCCCTGCCATGGCCTTGGTGACCTGTAGGAAATCACCAACACTGGCCACCTCCCCCATTGTCACCCCTTGAAGGTGCTGTTGGTGGCCAGTGCGGAGCTGAGCAAAAGGCCACCTCAGCCCCTTCCGGCCACCACGCTGGGGGCTTCCCAACGTCCCTGCTGGGCTTCACCCTGCACGATGGCATCCCCGCTGGGGGCTTGGTTAGCCCTGAATTTGCAAGTTTGATTCCTCAGACTGAGATCAGTCACAGCTCCTTCAATGGCTTCAACCTCTATTTGCATTTAGAGGCGAAAACATTCCTCTCGGAGGTTGCATGCTAATGCAGCATCCAGGAATCCTGCATGATTGCCTCCTAGTTAGTCTCATCTGCCTGAGTGAGCTGAAAACTGTTAAACACATTGAGTGTGTCAGACCAGATATTATCAGAAATAAGACTACCTTTCGCTGGCACCCACGGCTTGCAGACACACAGCAAAGAGTTATTTAAATCTTTTCCAGCTGTCTCCCATGTTTCCAGAGAGGCTCAGCTCTGACAGGTCTTTTAACCCTTCCCTTCCGTTATGTGATGGTATTTTGGTTTGCTCTTTCCTCTCCTGGGCTTCAGGAGCCTCCGCTGGCCTTGCCCAGCTCCCCGTGGTCCACTCACCCCGGTGGGCTCCTCCCAGCAGCATCAGAGATGTCTCCCACATCCCTTCACCTTGTTCGTGCACCCAGCAGCCGCCCTGCCCGGAGCTGGGGCTGGCAGCCCCCGGTACCCTCACCCAGCCCATTCCCCTCCAGTTTTGGACCCCTCCAAACTTCTCTCCGCTCTTCCCATTTCAGTGTTGAACCCCAAAGCCTCCGGGCCGCCAGCCCGGTCCCTTCCCAGCCCGCCTTGGCGCTCTCCCCACCGCCGCCTCTTCCTCGGCGCGGGGCTGCCTTCCTGCAGCAGGCTCTGCCAGCGCTGCTTCCCCAGCCTGCCTTGGAGCAGGAGCAGGAATCGAGAGCGAAACCCCAGTTTGCACGGCCAGCGTGTTTGAGGAGGGCCATCTGGCCGGGCTGGCGGTCCAAGCTGAATTTGCTGGATGGTTTTGAAGGTCACTGAGCAGGGAATGAACGCACTTCCATATTTTCCCATATAAATACCTGCGTCTCCAAGGGAGAGAGGGGAGCGTACACCCGCAGGAAGGGGCTGTGCCCACCCTGCCTGGGGAAAGAGGGGGTGGGCAGGACCCCGGGGCAAAGAAACAGGAGCACACACACAGATGGGCACGCACACACACGTGCACACAGACGTTTGCTGACACACCCTGTGTGCGTTCCTGTGTGCACTTACATGTGGGCCACACAGACTCATGTACACATCTGTCCACACTCGTGTACCTGCACACACACACACACACGTGCATGTATGTGCACCACGCAAACACACACGTGCACCATGCAAACACACGTGTGACCATGCAAACATGCACACCCACCAGCTTAGAGACCCTGGTACTTCCAGCTGGGACAGACTCCATCCCCCAGCCAGGTGGCTCTGGCTGCCCTGGGCCATGCTGCTCTGGCAGCAGAGCTGGGTCCCCTTGTGCCAATGGGCTCCAGAGAGCCCCTTGTGTCCCCACAGCAGCCAGGAAGAGGACAGGAACAACCCAAGATCCCCAAGACCACTTGCTCCAAGCCTTCCACAGCCACCCAGCCTTGTCCTGCGCTGCCCAGAGCAGGATCCAACACCCAGCTGCAGTGCTCAGGACCTTCTCACAGCCATGCTGACCACCGCATGGGGACAGCCAGCCCCGTACCATCCTGACAGGACCAAAGCTCTCTGCTGCTGTCCTGGAGAGCCCTGGGAAAGCGCTCTGGGCTCCTGATGTCCTTGGGTGCCACCCTGGTGCCCACACCTGATGCCACAGAGCCCAGCCATATCTCCTTGCACCCGGGAGAGCAGATGCTCGGGGCAGGCAGCTGGATCATCGGCCAGGAATGAAGCATCCTTTGCGTGCGTGGGGCAGGGAGCCAGTGACTGGGGGTGGGGGGAGTGGAGAAGGCAATGCTGCTGGTCACCGCGGCGGGAGAACGTGTTTCTCATCATTGTGTGCCACGAGGTGTGGGGGGGACGGTGTGGGGATGGGCACGGGTCATCGTCCAGCCCGCTCAGAGCATCTCCTGGTACAGCCGGCTGACATGTTGCTGGGCTTCGCTGCCAGCACCACCCTGCAGGAGGGGGGTTACCTCCACCCAGGGCACAGACCTGGCTCTCACAGCCACTGTGAGGGTCTCACCCCGTCACAGCCCCAGGCCCAGCTGGGTCCTGCCTCCCCACCATCACAGGGAGCTGAGAACATCGCTGTGCCAGTCTGCACTGCCCCGGGGAAGTTGTGAGGGAGATTTGCCAGGGCCACGGCAGCTCCGGGTCCCTGCACTGGGTCCGTGCCCACTCCCACACACACCCCCAGCCCTGGCTCCCCTGGGCAGCCCTGCTTTGGGTGCAGGGAGAGCAGGAATGTCCCAGCAGGAGAGGGCACCCATAGGAGAGCCCATCCAGCGGTGAAGATGCAGCTGGTGATGCCGCACCTCCAGGAAAGCCTGCAGAGGAGACGAGGCTGGGCTGGGGGATCACAGGAGGGGCAGATGCTGGAGGGCTGGGTGTCTCCCAGTGCCTCGGGACCCTCGGCCGTGCCCGGGTGAGGTGGAGGGCTGTGCTCCCTGGCAGGGCCACACACCCCTTCCCCAACAGCCCTGCATCTCTGATGCTCCAGCCAGGGCTGGCAGCACGGGACCAACTGCCCGGTGGATGTCCACAAAGTGGGGGGGTCCCCAGGGCTGCCTGCTGCTCACCTAACGGGCCCGAGTCCTGCACCCACAGCCTGGGCACCCCAGCCTTGTCCCACCACGTCTGCTTGGTCCCCATTGGGCTTTTCCCTGGGGCTGCACCCCCCTTTTCCCTGTCAGATGGGCAGCCTGTTCGTAACTTGGGAGTTTCTCAACCGCGGCCCCCAGCACCCACGAAGCCCAGCCAGAGCTTTAGCAGGCAGACGTGGTGCTGGGAGGGACTTCCCTCCCCCAAATCCTGGGCTACATAAGGAAGAGTGTGGCCAGCAGGTCAAGAGAGGTCATTCTGCCCCTCTACTCTGCACTGGTGAGGCCACAACTGGAATCCTGCATCCAGTTCTGGGCTCCCCAGTTCAAGAGGGACAAGGAACTACTGGACAGAGTCCAGCGTAGGGCAACAAAGATGATTCAAGGACTGGAGCATCTCCCTTATGAGGAGAGACTGAGAGAGCTGGGACTCTTTAGTCTGGAGAAGAGAAGGCTGAGGGGAGACCTTATTAATGCTGACAAGTATCTCAAGGGCGGGCTGAGGGAGGAGGGAACCAGACTCTTTTCAGTAGTTGCCAGTGAGAGGACAAGGGGCAACGGGCACAAGTTGGAACATAAAGGGTTCCACTTGACTATGAGGAAGAACTTTTTCATGGTGAGGGTGACAGAGCCCTGGCACAGGCTGCCCAGGGAGGGTGTGGAGTCCCCTTCTTTGGAGATTTTCAAG